TGCTTCAGCATGCCATTAGTTCCAATGATTCTGCTAGCAACCAGGGTTCAGGCCTAAGCTTTTAATTCTATAATTGTATTTTATCACTCAGCGAGATTTCTGGTGCTCTTGGTTTCATTCCAACTGAATGCTTGATCTGGAAATACACGTGGAAACCCATGAATTTAAATAAAAATAAATTGTCTCATACATAATTTAAAAGCTGAAACATTTTTATTAATCAAATATTAATCCTTCAAGCAACATCACTAATAAATTGTCTGGTCATTAACTCATTGTGCTACTTTGCTATTTGCAATTTGGCTGCCACATTCCTCACATCACAACAGTGACTACACCTCAAACATACTTAATAGCTGTAACCACTTTGGTATAGGCTGAAGTCTAAAAACTGTATTTTATATTCAAGCTTTTCCCATTTTATTAATTTTTGCACAATATGAATCAATATATCAGGTCAGCATAAAAAGTTCAATCTTAAACAATAAGAACAACTTACTGGTTGCCTACTGAGAAGTCCAATGCCCTGCAGTTTTCTGTCTTCACGGGCTAAAAGTAGCAATTTTCCCTCTGTCCCTATTTCACGCTCACCTGGTAAGCAGAGTTTGCTTTAAAAATACTGAATAATTTGAAAGGAATAATATTTCAAAACATTAATTAAATCTACTATAAGGACGTGCACATTAATGTGAAGACCTCAACATTTTTTGTGAGCTATCATTTACTATTGAGCAAATACCATGCCATTAAAGATCACATTCAATTAATATTGCTTTGCACAATTTTCATCTGTCATATTTTTTCTTCACAATGGTATATAGAGCAAGAAAAAGCATATACATCACAGCATAAGACTGTAAGTAGGAGCAGAATAACCTATTCCGCCATCTGCGGAAAATTGCCCATCATGTAAGACAGCACTGGCTCTTTAATTAAGCATCATGACTTAGTGTCATTCTCCTGCTCTCTCCCTATACCCTCACACATTGTTTTTATTCAAGTCATTATCTAATGTCCTCTTGAATGCCTCGATTGTACCTGCCTCCACCTCACTTCTGGGCAGTGCATTCCAGACCCAAACCATAATTTTTTTTTTCTTACATCATTAAGTGGGTGCACTCTCATTTCTCAATCTTTTCATGGGTGAGAACAGTTTCTATTTATCAATTCTATCTAGACCTCTCATGATTTTGAAACTTTTCATTCAATCCCCTCTTAGTTTTCTTGTTCATGAGGACAGCAGTTACAACCTCTCCAATCTTTTCTCATAACTGAAGTTTTGTCATCCCTGGAACTATTCTTTTAAGTTTTTTTGTATCCTCTCCAAAGCATTCACATCCTTCCTACAGTCTGGTAAAGGTGGCTAGCTCAGTTGTCTGGAAGGCCAGTTTGCAATGCAGACTGACACCAACAGCATGGGTTTAATTCTTGCATCAGTTGAGGTTACCATGAAGAACTCTGCTTCTCAACCTCTCCCCTTGCCTGAGGCGTGGTGACCCTCATGTTTAAAGCACCACGAGCTGTGTCTCTCTAATGAGAGCAGCCCTATGGTCCAGTAGATCTATAGTGACTTTATTTTTATAGTCTGGTGCACAGAACTGCACAGGATACACCAGACGAGATCGAAGTGTCCTGTACAAATTCACCATGACCTCCTTGCTCTACAGCAGGTAGTAAGGAAGGCAAATGAAATGTTAACATTTATTACAAAAGAAATAAGAGTATAAAAGTAGGGAAGTGTTCCATTAATTGTGCAAAGCCTTAGTGAGACCACACCTGGAGTACTGTGCACAATTTTGGTTCCCTTACTTGAAGAGGGATGCAGTTACAATGGAGACAGTTCAGAAGAAGTTCGCTAGATTGTTTCAGAGATGAGGGGGCTTGTCTTATGAAAAGAGATTGCATAGTTTAGCCCTATACTCTCTGAAGAATGACAGGAAATCTAATTAAGATATGTAAGATGCTTAGGGGGACTGACAAAGTAGATAGAGATAGGATGTTTCCTCAGGTGGGCAATCCGGAACGAGAGGTCATAGTTTTAGGATAAAGGGTAGCAGATTTAAAACAGGTGAGAAGTTACTTCTCTCAAAGGATCATGAATCTGTGAATTTCACTATCCGAGAATGTGAAGGATCCTGAACCATTGAGTAAATTTAAGGAGGCATCAGACAGATTTTTAATTAATACCAGGTTGAAGGTTTATGAAGAGTGAGCATGAAAGTGGAGCTGAGGCCAAGATGAGATCAAACATGATCGTATCAAATGGTGGAGCAGGCTCAAGGGGCTGAATTGCCTATTCCTAGTTCTTAACTTCTTGTTCTCTACATACGCATGAGGTACCCTTGTACCTTATTAATAATGCCCAGAACACTGCATGCTTTATTAACTGCTCTCTCCATCTGCCACCTTCAACGATCTATGTACATATATATCTAGGGCCGTCTGCTGTGTACCCTCATAAGAACTGTCCTTCTCATATTTTATACTGTCTATGTTCTTCCCACTAAAATGCATCACCTCACTTCTTCTGCCACCTAAGTGCACATTCTACCAACTTCTATGTCCTTCTGAGTTGTACCCTGTCTTCCTTACTGTTTACAGCACTTGCAAATTCTGGATCATCTGCAAACTTTGGAATTTTCCCCTGCACACCTAGATCTAGATCTTTATTATATACATCATTCAATACAATTATGACTGATCTTGGCCTCAACACCACTTTCCTGTCTGGTTCCCACCTCCCTTCATTCTTTGAGATACCAAAACTCTATTGGTCTGTGCCTTGACGCTCAATGATCATTATCGTTAGTGCTTCCTTGCAGACGATGACGACTCTCTTCCCCCCTCAGGGTGAGTCCATAGGTGACTGTACAGTCCGATGTGGCTTTTGCAGACTCTGCTACACTTGGGGCAGAAAGTGGTCGTGGGAAAGGGTGGGTGTTGCAGCGCCGTCCTTACGCTGTTTTCACCTGGCTTCTGCTTTTTCCTAGTGGCAAGTGTTGAGGTGCTCAACGCCTTCCCAAATGCTCCTTCTCCACTTTGGATGATCTTGGGCCAATGATTCACAGGTGTTGGTGGGAATACTACACTTTACCAGTAAGGCCTTGAAGGTATCCATGAGGCGCATCCTCTGTCCACCTGGGGCTTACCTGGAGCTGGGAGTAGAGCATGACTTGGGGAATCTCATGTCAGTCATGCGGACGACCTGCCCAGCTGATCAAGGCTGGTCAGTGTCTCAATGTTGCGAATACTGGCCTGGTAGAGGATGCTGGCATTGGTGCGTTTTTCTTCCTAGTGGATTCGCAGGATCTTGCTTAGGCAGAATTGGTGGTACTGCTCCAGCGGCTTGAGGTGCCTGCTGTAGACAGTGCACGTCACAGAGGCATATATTGGGGGGGGGGGGGGGGGGGGGGGGGGGAGGCCCGCACCCCCTGCCACCAT